CTTTTTCCCCTCTCTTCTCCTCTCCACCCTCTTCTCCCCTCCTACTCCCCTCTCCTCCTACTCCTCCCCTCTCCTCCCCTCGCACACAGCTCTCGTCCTCACTCACCTCGCCTCTGCTCCTCCTCTAGGCTTCTGCTTGTAATAAACCATGTAACAGGCATGTGGGCAGTTTTGGTGCTCCTCCTTCCTCCGGTTTCTCCTCCTCCCCTCCCCCTGTGTGTCTGTGAGTCTCCTTCTCCATTGCAGGTGAGTTGGTGCCTGCTGTGAGGAGAGCTGCCCTGTCTCCCACCAGGACAATTGGGGAGAGTATTTCTATGATGGATATCCACTCAGCCACTGCCAGTTTGTCTCTTGACTGCGACAGAAGCAAAGCTCAATCTGACATTTTTAAAAACACTGTATTGGACTTGTTTAACGCCATTTTGTATCTTCTCAGGAGGAGGACCAGTTTTCCTGTTGTTTTTCCTGGATCTTGTTTGGACTTTGTTAATATAATTTTGTTTCCCCAGTGTTTTTTGTTAATTAAATGAACTTGTTATTCCACATTTGGATTCATTTAATTCAAATCACAACAGTTACAGAAAGAAAACAATTGTGTTCTCAGTTTAAGATTAAAATGCAGCCACAGACATCTCACACGGTTCCTTGTGTTTACCGATAGCGGTGTCAGCATTGCGGGCCTACACATGTAATGAAGAGCCCTATACAGAGCTATTTGACTCTTTGGAATGAGAGCTGATTGAGAGAGGGGGGTCCTCTCATATTCACCTTTCTGTCTGAAAAAGCTGATCCAAAGACATCAAGAGAGGTCAAAAACACTTGCATGTGAGAACTAGTGATAGTAGAAAACTGAACTAGACACATGGATTTGAAGTCAATTCATTTTTGTATTTCCCTAAAACACAACAAATACATGTTGATAAAGTCAATTTTAGAGTTCCATTACTGACGCTGTAACGCCTTCATGACATGAAGTTCTGAAATAAAACAACTCCAGGTCTGTTTTCGATGAGGAGCATGTTGTTTTTGGGGTGTAGAATATCAAACAGATGAAACAGCACGAACACCGCCCCACCCCGGCCACAGACGTGTTAAACTCAGTTGCCGAATATAGAAAAACAGGAACCGGTCGAGGGCCGAAAGAAAAGAATGAATTTAATTTTCTTATAATTCCATTTTATATTATGACAGTATTTTGATGTGAGTTTTACAATTATTGTCTGGTTGATTTGTAAACAAAATGTGTTAATTGTTTGATTTAACCGAAATTGGGCCAAATATAAAGTTAAACACATTGTTTTATATAAATCTATTGAACTTCTAATGATGTGTTGGTTTAACATTTTATTTTTCAGAAAAATCAACCAGAACTTAATAATGAAACTCATCTCACATAAAAGTCATGTCAAAATACCTTCAGATTCAGATTCAGATTCAGATTCATTTATTTGCCATTTGCAGTAAAACCACATAGGAAAAACTGTGCAAGACTACCCCAGTGTGCACCAGACGGCACACACCAGAGCTCTTGCCAAGGCGCCTTCATAATGTAAAACACAATTATAAAAAAGGAAATCCCTCTATTCTTTCGGCCCCCAACCAAAATGAGTTTTACACCCTGCTGTAGGGCATGGGTGCTGAACTGTGTTTTTCATTCAAAGCTGGAAGAAATGTTGATGATCCAGACACTCAACATTCAACAACATTTATGGACTTTTTAAACATTTATGGACATCGGTCTCTGCCACTTCAGGACCAATGGCTCTTGGTCATTTTTACCATAGCATTTTTTTGTGTTGGAACGTTTTGATTCTCTGATCTGTGTTGGAAAATTCAACAGTTTTGTAAAGTCCTCTGTTGTGATTTAGTGCTATAAAATATACATTGAATTGAATTGAAGTGGAAAGATGGGTTCAAAGTCCTCACATTACTTACAGGCAACAGCTACAAATGTTGAACTAATGCCTGAATGTTTCTTTTTCTTTTCACTGATGATTAGCGCACTATGCTCATAATATACACTGATGCAAGGTTGTCTATGTGTGTTTGAATTAGAGGAGGTTAAAGGGGCCCATAACTGCGGTACAACATTGTTCCCTCATCACAAACCTCCACGCTGAAACCATCTATCAGCACGTACGCTGTAGTAAGGCTACATCTGGAGAGGTGCGTTCATTAACCATAGTGAGCATTAGCGGACGTAGTCACACCTATCTCCGCTGTGGAAACTAATGTGCCATCACTTTTGCCTTCTGTGGGCTTTTTCAAAATGGTCGCGGGCAGGAAAATGTGAAAAAACGCATTTGCGCATGGGTTAGCTGGCACGAGCCTCATTCATTTAACGAGTGCTTTCTGAAGTCCACAGTGGCTAAACTAGTTTAAAAAAAAAACTCCCCTCAGCATTGACACATATGTGAACATTTTGGGCCAAGAGCCGACTGTAAAGCTGTTTTAGAGAGGAAAGAAGACGCCATACAAAAGCATTGAGTAATTCTTATTCCGGGTACACCCCCACCAGCCCGGAGTGAGATTGCAAGGGCTCGTGCTCATGGACCTTTTAGAGCTGGGACCTGCGCCCACTGTCATTAACATTTTAACTAACCAAATAAACAATTAATATATACAAATAATAGTAATAATAATAATTCAGATTGAGCAAAAATAGCCTGCCTATGTTACACAATTCTAACACTATCATTGAAGACACAGTTGTAAAGAATATTATTGTTGTAAAATATGTAAGAGCTACAATTGAACACAATAGTAGCGCCCACTCCTAATAGTAGATAGAATATTAGGAGTGGGCTGACCGAGTGCTTAGAGCTGGTTCAAACAGGCTTTAGAGTGTGGAGCTAAATGTGTGGACATTTTGTTTCCAAGCACAAGTTACGAAGCACCGGTGAGGAGATCCACAAGTCCTTACTTGCACTACACGCTAGTGTACGGGGACAGAAGGCTCCTGACTGGACAGTTGGATCATGAGCTGGATGTGTATTTTTTCAGGTATTTTACTTTTTTTTTTACCATGGATGAAGCTCATGGAGACTAAGCATATCATTTGCAAGTGTGTCATGGACAGAGAGGGACGGATAAAGATACATTATAAGTAAGGGATAATGTATAGTACGCAGGTGATTATCAGAAAATAAGTACCGACAGGGCGACCTGCATACTATATATTATCCCGCTTATTATACGGCTTTGTGCCAACAGAATACACAAAAACACTTTAGTCCACTTTTATGAATGCCGAAAGGTTTATTTATTGACTGCAAATGAAATAGTTCCCAAAGGTAGTTCCCATGGCAGGCGAGTAACAGATAGGGTAGCAACTTCAAAACTAGAAATCTAAATGAAAACGGAACAAAGAATCAGATTCTCTGCAAATGTGTCCTAAAATGTTTAATTCATGTTAATTGTTACTTCTGGGTTTTCTGCAATCGCTTTTTGTCACATTAAAACTGTATTTTTGTCATGAGAACGTTAACAGATAATTCTGAAAACCTCCGTGCACGTGTGTTACGAATGTATATGTATAATGTATTCTCTGACAACAACATTTAACATTGAAATGTGTTGATTGATTGATATTCGTGTCTATTGAGCGTGGCTAGCTCCGATAGCTTCTCTCGCAGAGACAGTAGTATACTAGCGACGAAGTGGCCGGAACTTGCGGAGTAATCTACACATCTGCATTAAAAGCAGAGGGTGCGTTAAAGGGCAGCGGTCTTTATTGCTTTGAGAGGTCCGTTATCAAGAGAAATGACCGGTAGATTACATCCAAATCAATGGAGCGTTCTACTGCTGCTTCATTGAGCTTGGGGTGTGAGCACTGTCCATCTACATACAGTCTATGGTTCAAAGACAGAAAGCACTCTGTCATTGAGGATTCATCATTTGGTTGGATGAGGAACAATAGTGGAACATGGTTAAAAGCTCAAAGTTTGCGTAAAAGGAATGTAATAAAAATATATAAAATGTAATCCACAAAAGATAAGACAACAAGGTATAAGACAACAAGGTAAGACAATCAATACAAATGTCAGGTTTCATATTGCAAAAGCAGAGGAACACTATGTGCTCATATATTTTATTATTTAACAAATCCTGGACATTTATCACTTACCCGTTTGTTTGTCCTGCTCAGCATCTGTCCGCTCCGCCTCCCGCCCGGTTCATTTATCCATCCCATTAGTCTTGGTGCACACTAGGCCACAGTTTGCCTTTCACTACAGTTTAAAGCAAGTATCCATCTCACATTCAAACCACAACCTGTCAAACCGAGCACCACGCTTCCTGCTCTGAAGCTGTATGCATACGTCGACATCTGACATGACTGATGACAGTACAGGGGCAGAGATGACTCTATTGTGACAGGAGTGCATTTACTGAAATCTATATTTTTATTATGAGAAATTAAAATATTATTGATGTAGAAACTTGAATGTTGTATGTTAATTGATACAAGTGGGAGGGGCTAGTGGGGGGCAGCCTGTGTGTCAGGAATAATTCCAAACTTATCAAAACTTGCTGAATGCTGAAATGCTGGATTTTCTTGCAGTTCTGAGTTCTTCTCATTGTGAACCAGTCTAAGAGCTGTGTTTCTATTGGACAAGAAGATTTTAGTTGTTGTATAAGACAAAAACAGACAGTATGTAAACCCTGTAGAGTTTTGTCTCATGCTCCACACTTTGTCGTTCCACGCCTTAAAGATTCTCTTCAACTCAGTATCCATCCATCCATCCATTTTCTTCCCCTTAATCCATTTCTGGGTTGGGGGGGTGGCAGTCAGAGCTGCACCCAGTACACTTAGCACCAGCCCCTCACTGATCCCCAAGCAGGTGGTGAGTCCACAGGAGCTGAGATCTTTCAGTGGGAGCTTCAGGCAAAGTGGGGTTAAGTGTCTTTCCCAAGGACACAACGACAGCAGTAATCAGTGGGAGTCATAAAGTAGGTCTTGTGGTGGGCTCGAACCCACGACCTTCAGGCTCAAAGGCCAATGCTCTAGCAACTGAGCTACTGTCGCCCCTCAGTAAACTCAGTAAGCTCAGTAAACTCAACTCAGTATATAGTCTGATATTCCTTTGCATCATAGATTATCCATCCGTCTATCTTGCACCTTACAGGCTAACCACTTGATTGAGAACGAGTTAAAGATTGAGCCACTATGCCCCCCAAACTTTATTATTTAAATGTTTTGTTCTTATTTTGTTAAGCACTTGTGTATGAACTGTGCTTCACAAACACACTTGCCTTGCCTTGCCTTACCTTCCCCACGTCTTGCAGTGGGATAATAACCCCCGGTGGCAGTGGGACCACTGCATTGAAAAGTTAGATTTTCGTCACAGCTCAAATGGAGCAAATCCAGACCTTAGTACGAAATGAAATGAGTAAAATGGTTTGTAAGACCGGGACTAGCATCACCCACACACAGGGCCACAGGGTATGTAATTATACCAGTGCGGTCAAAAGATTAACCAGTTGGATTATAAAACTTTATTTTAGACTCAAGATAAAATTGGTCCATACAAAAAAAATGGGATTAAAACAAAAAAGGGTCGGTTTGGACAACGCATTGTCCTGTGGAGGGACCAGGCCACTGTGAGTCTGTGGAGGGACCGGGCCACTGTGAGTCTGTGGAGGGACCAGGCCACTGTGAGTCTGTGGAGGGACCAGGCCACTGTGGTCTGTGGATGGACCAGGCCACTGTGAGTCTGTGGAGGGACCGGGCCACTGTGAGTCTGTGGAGGGACCAGGCCACTGTGAGTCTGTGGAGGGACCAGGCCACTGTGAGTCTGTGGAGGGACCAGGCCACTGTGAGTCTGTGGAGGGACCAGGCCACTGTGAGTCTGTGGAGGGACCAGGCCACTGTGAGTCTGTGGAGGGAACTGCGACAGAACATGGTCCACAAAGGACCTGTTTACAGTACACTCAACACAGAGCATGTTTCACTTGGCAATAATCCCATTTCATCGCTTCAGTGTCATTGGTAACTCTTGAATAATCACAAATAATACTAAATTTTTCCCTGTTCTAACTATCACATCTATCTCGAGGTCTGTGACAAGCTGTGATGGACGTCCAGTATTCACCAGTGAGCGTGACTGCTTTTGCCTTCTCCAGTGCCTGCTGTAGCTTACGCCGCGCGTTGGGTGCAGGGCTGATATCAGATACGTGATGCGCAGCACTCGTCAGCACAAAATATGACCCAAGCCTATTTTTGGAGCGCAGTGACATGTGCCTTTCAGTCAAAATACATACATGTGTTTAACACAATCAAAACATGGACACCGTTAAAATGGGTTTGTAATTATATATATATATATATATATATATATATATATATATTATGTATAAATAATATAAGATGGCGCCTTGTACGGTCGCCACGGCTCTTTGGTGCTCTCTGTTTCTTTTGTTTTTACTTTTTAACTGCGTATATGGCTGTTCCTACTCACGTGAGGAACTTCTGAACATACGACCCACCGTTCCCATGGACCTACTGCCTGTTTTCTTAGCGTCTGCGGCTGATTTAGTCCATGTTTTAGCCAAAAAAGTGAGGGCCCGTAAAAGAGGAAAGCGCAGCGGGGTGCTTGTGCGTCTAAGGAGAAGAGAAGAGCGCACGGCTCTACCCGGCCTTTTCCTCTCAAACGTACGCTCACTGGGCAATAAAATGGACGAACTCGGCCTGCTCATGAGAAGAAACAAGGACTTCGCTTTATCCTGTGTCCTCTGGGTACTGGTACAGAGAACGACTACAGGAGCAGATTGGACACAACGATGCTGCTTCTGTCTGGAGGGATACGGGAGATCACCAACTACAAGCCCAAAGCCCCCCTCTGTGCTGACAACCTGAACCGTTTTTTCAGCCACTTTGACGCTGTCCCGGACACCTCCCCCACCCCCCACCACTCTAACGACCCACCCATCAGCTCTGCCCCCACCCTGACAATAGCCTCAGAAGATATCAAACGACTCTTCTCGAGATTGCACCCCCGCAAAGCTCCTGGCCCAGACCATGTGTCTCCGGCCACTCTGAGACACTGCACCAGTGAGCTAACTCCTGTCTTCACTGACATTTTCAATACCTCTCTGCAGTCCTGCCATGTCCCGGCCTGCTTCAAATCCTCCGTCATCGTCCCCGTCCCGAAGAAGCCCAGGATCACAGGACTCAATGACTACAGACCTGTGGCACTGACGTCTGTCGCCATGAAGTCATTTGAGCGCCTGGTCCTCTCCCATCTCAAGTCCTTCACCTCCGCTCACCTGGACCCCCTGCAGTTCGCCTACAGAGCCAACAGATCTGTAGACGACGCCATTAACCTGGCCCTCCACCACATCCTACAGCACCTGGACTCCCCGGGGACCTACGCCAGGGTCCTGTTCGTGGACTTCAGCTCTGCCTTCAACACAATCCTGCCATCCCTGCTCCAGGACAAGCTCTCCAAGCTCAATGTGCCCGATTCCACCTGCAGGTGGATCACTGACTTCCTGACGGAC